CTGAGCCATCTCTCCAGCACCCGAGGTCTGCCTTTATAGCAAAAGGTGGGTGAGGTCTGCCTCCACGGGTAGCAAAAAGGTCACCAGGTTGTTAAAAAATCTACTCCCAGCCTTCTGGGCAGGAAAGCAGGTATTTTATCTCCTGCGATGAGCAGAGGCCCCTGTGTGTTTAACATTCCCGGTTTTCCTTAGGGCTTCTTTGTGAATACAAGGACCTCTGTGTCCCCAACATGCCATCACCCCCAGCCCGGTACACAAATTTTTCTGTGTGTGATTTTTAAAAATGTTTATTTGGAAGACTGGTTTACATGCATGACACATGTGCATGTAAAAGCCGAAGGAGAACTCAGCCATTTTATCTGCTGAGCTATTTCACCTGCAAGTTCCTTTCTGAGGCTGGGGAGGGATTTTAGACAGGGTTTCTCTATGTAGCTTTGGAGCCCATCTTAGATCTCACTCTGTAGAGCAGGCTGGCCTCAGACTCACAGAGATCCGCCTGCTTCTGCCTCCCGAGTGCATGTGCCATCACCATCCAGCCAAAAATTCTTAAATACAGCCCAGGTTGGTTTGGAATTCAAGATCTTTCTACATACTCCATCCCTTAGCATAATGAATTTACAGGTTTAGATCATAATGCCAGTTCATATGAAATTTTTTAGGAAATTTGAAATATTGCCAAATTGATTGTCAAAGCATACTCCCCAGTTTAAGCAGTTAAGAGCACTTATACCAGATGTTCTTTCTAATACTATTTCTCTTTGGGGCTGGTCAGATGGCTCAGCAGATGCCGGGTGGTGGTTGTGCACACCTTTAATCCCAGTACTCAGGAGGCAGAGGCAGGCAGGCAGATTTTTGTGAGCTCGAGGCCAGCCTGGTCTACAAGAGCTAGTTCCAGGACAGGCTTCAAAGCTACAAAGGCATGTGCCAACACTGACCAGGTTCAATTTCCTGCATCCACATGGCAGCTCACATCTGTCCATAACTCCCATTCCAGGGGATCTGGCACCCTCACACAGACATACATGCAGGCAAAACACCAAGTCACATAAAATAAAACTAAATATATTTTTAAAAAAGCAATCAAGCCAAAATTTGGTGCTGGTAGCACACTCCTCGAATCCCAGCACTCTTGAAATTGAACCTGGGTCCTCTGGAAGAGCTGCTAGTGCTCTTAACTGCTGAGCCATCTCTACAGCCATTAGGGGCCGATCTCTTAAAGGTTATTTCCTACTACTTCCTAACATACTTATCCCCAACTTTTTTTTTTAAACTTTTAGCCAGGTGGTGGTGGTGCACGCCTTTAATCCCAGCACTCGGGAGGCAGAGGCAGGAGGATCTCTGTGAGTTTGAGGCCAGCCTGGTCTACAAGAGCTAGTTCCAGTACAGCCACCAAAGCTACAGAGAAACCTTGTCTTGGAAAAAAAAAAACTTTTAAAATTGGTCTTTTATTCAATCTCCTCTTTCAAAAAGAAATCATTCAACCAAGAAAAAAAATAGAATTAAGATATTTTGGGGGGAAAAAAACTCTTGAAACAAATCTATGTCTATAAAATTTAATTCAAATGCTAATATGTAATGAAAATATGCTACATTTTAAACTTGTTAGTTGTAAAATTCTGAATCAAAAATATTCTGAAAATTATATCATTGAATGGACAGAAGTTAGCTGGGCAGTGGTGGTGCATGACTTTAATCCCAGCATTTGGAAGTCAGGTGGATCTCTGTTCTGTGAGTTCGAGGCCTCTCTCGGGGAAAGAAAGGCAGAATTTTATGTGAATCATACTTCAGTAAGGATATTAAAAATGAAAGAAAAAAAACTATGAAAGAAATCTTAGGAAATTTATTCTGGTAAATTTAAATTTTGACAGCATATACTTACGTAGAAGAAAAACAAGAAAGATAGATTGGGTAGCTAGGGAGTGGTGGCGCATGCCTTTAATCCCAGCACACAGGAGGCAGAGGTAGGTGGATCTCTGAGTTCTAGGTCAGCCTGATCTACAGAGTGAGTTCCAGGACAGCCAGGAGTACACAGAGAAAGCCTGTCGTGAAAAAGAAAGAAATGTCAGGAGCATCCAACAGGATAGGAGCAATTGTGCTGTCTTTGGGGGCTGGAGAGATGGCTCAGGGGTTAAAAGCACTGGCTGCTCTTCCAGAGGATGGTAGTTAAATTCCCAGCAGCCACGTGGCAGTTCAGAACTGTCTGTGGCTTCAGTTCCAAGAGATTCGACACCCTCGCACAGACATACCTGGAAGCAAAACACCAATGCAAGTAAAGTAAAAATAAATTATAAAAGAAGTAATGCTGTTTTCATAAAATGCTAGGATTACATGAAGTGGATAGTGTCACTTGGTGGATGTAGAATCTCTGAAAATATTTCATGCAGATAGCAAAGAAAATAATAGAGGAGTTTAAGGAATAAAGTAAAAATAAAACGAAAAAGTAGATTGCCAGCTGGGTTGTCAGGGTCGGTGGTGTGTTTGCTTGGCAAGTGGACATCTGCTTATCTTCTTTTTTTTTTTTTTAAAAAAAAATACAAAGCCTGCAATTTATTCTCAAGAAAAGGAAAACAGAAAGAAACCTGTTTATTTTTCCTTTTTGAAGATTTAGAAGATGTTCATATCTCGATGTCAGGAGCTCCCGTCCCCAATCAGCTGCCTAGAACAACCTTGCAACCATCTTTACAAAGGCCTGGCACATCTTTCTAGCAGCTGACAGGGTGCTTCATTGAAGGGGCTGTCTGGGCAGCAGCCTCTTAGGCCTTCACAAGAGAACTGGACCAGACCCTGGGTCAGCCAAAGCCCTAGTATTGCCATTCCATGTGTGCCTCTGAAGCCTACCTGACACTCCCTTATAGAACTCAACTGTCATGTAGGGTAGGGGAACAAAGAGCAGAAGCTGCCCAAGTGCCTTCAGCTCTCAGCTTCCCTCCTAGGCTAGGGCTCACTGTTGGATGCCAACCGCGGAAGCCTGGCTGTCAGGGTGCAAGTTATAAGTGTAGTGATGGATTCCATTTTGTTGTTGTTGTTGTTGTTATTGCTTTTGTTTTGTTTTTCAAGGAAAGTTTCTTTGTGTTGCCCTGTCTGTCCTGGAACTGGATCCATAGACCTGGGTGGCCTCAGAACTCAGAAATCTGCCTACTTCTTCCTCTCAAATCCTGGAATTAAAGGCCTGCACCACCACTGCCCAGCCAATTTTGTTTTTCTTAACTCAGTAACTGAGAATGAGGGTTTCTGTTTTTGTCTTTTATTTATTTTTCAGGACAGGGTTTCTCTGAATAGCGTAGGAATCTGTCCTGGTACTGGCTTTTCAGACCATGCTGGCCTCAAACTCACATGAGATCCGCCTGCCTCTGCGCCACCACCACCCGGCTTCAATGCCTCTTTGTAGTTACAGTGTAGCCAAGCCAGAGCTTCTGTGTTTGTTTTCATTTGTAACTTGTAACCTTACCAAAGTGTGCAGACCCTACCTCATTAGAATCCATGTAGGGTCATGTTTGTTTCCGTTTTAACGTATTAGGGAAGAAAAGGAAGTTGCACGTGGATGTTTTCTAAAGTCATTATTTTTTGTCCAGACTTTAAATTCTGAGAATAATTTTTTTCTTCTGTTTACTTATCACAATACTCTTAGTTTGTCCACAGTTCCTTTAAGTCGTTAGACATACGTACAGAATTAGGACTTCCTCAACTGCTTGCAGAGATGCTTTTGCTTACCAGGCTCCGCACTTCTATTTGCTGTTTCCAGACCTTTCTTGTTTTCCTTACATAGGTGTGAAAAGTTGTCTTTGGATTGTTGAAATACTACTTCCTAGCCTCCCTCGCCCAAGTAAGGAAGCTACCTACTCTCCTTTAGCCTGGGCCCCTTTCTCACCAGGAGGCTGAAGCCACAGCTGGGTTTTTTATGAAAAAAAAAAAACCCTCATTTTTTATGAAAATTGAGACAGATTCTATATCACAATGGCTGACCTCAAATCCCACCTCCGCCCCCAACACACACACACACATACACACACACACACACACACACACACACACACACACACACACACACGGTTTCTCTGTGTAGCCCCGGTTGTCCAGGAGCTCGCTCTGTAGACCAGGCTGCCACTGCCCCACCCCCCCAGTGCTGTTACGTCACCACACCTGGCTTCTAACACATTAACGTTAAAGCTGAGCTTCATTTAGGTCTGCTTTCCCGGCCCAACACCGTTTGGAACGTCATCGGGATCATTCAAACCCCCACGGTTGACGCGCTTCTGTCATCTGCGAGTTCCGATGTTCACGTGGGTCACCACCTCTGCAGGTAGACCGGGTCTCAGCAGACACCAATTCATGCGCACCTCCACCTCCGTGTGACTAAACACTGCGGAGGACGGAAGCCAGTCCCGCAGCACACGGACGCAGACGTCAGACGACGGTAAACACACGGAGACGACGTGGGACAATCCGACGGCCCCCACGCCTTTCCTTCACAGCGCAGCAGCCCCACCCCTCCCCACCGGAACTCCCCCCCCTCCGCGCTCGGCGCGCCCACGCACGTCAGCGCCCCCCTCCGACGCCGGCGGCCCACGCGGGTCGCGCCGCGCCCGCCGCCGGCGGAGGA